ATCGTAAAATAAATCAAAGAACTAGTTCTTCGTTATTCTTGATAGAATAATAAATTCATATTTAAACAAGTCATCGTAAAATAAATCAAAGAACTAGTTCTTCGTTATTCTTGGATAGAATAATAAATTCATATTTAATAAATGTTATTTATTAAACTATTGTAGGTAAATTAAATAAAAGTAAACTGGTATAAATTTAAATAAGTCCATAAACTAATTTCGATTTTGAAAATAGCTAACTGTCACTAGAAACTTGCCATGACGACACTAGACCTCTTTGGTTGCCATTTTATTGAAAAATTGCTCTTTATTCAAAAATCTGAGCTAGATAGGTATAGGAAACCTAATAATACAGTTTGAAAAGCATTTGAATCTGCTTTAATTTATTTTAAAAAATACAGGGTGTTGTATTTGAAATAGCGAAGTTTTTATGTAAAATAAATTCTTAAAATAGATCAGCAATTTTTGATACCCCTGTATAAATTTAAGGACGCAATTACATTTTTCTGTAAAGTTTATTTCTCTACCTTTAAACTCAGCACAAGAATTAATTCTGAAAAGTAGTGTACCTGGGTGTTAATAATCTATTCTATTGTAGCTTGCAAATTTAAATATCTTTAATTATCTCAAAAACCAAAGATTTTCAACATATTTAGCCCTTATAATAAATGCCTTTTTTTGGGCCCAAGAATCCAAAAATGAAATAAAATACCCGGTGTTCCATAAGAAAAAATATAACTTTGGTATGGATCTTAGTTCTGAAACACCCTATATATTTCAAAATAATTTTAAATTGTGCACATTGCCTCCACATATACCCATAAAATATTTTGTTTCTACATCTTTCCGTTTTCGAAAAATCAACCGAGGCGAATGCGGTGCGCCACCCTGTATATGAAGATGACATAACAGTCTCTATGTTGACTATAATCCATGGTCTAGATTTGGTCGAGTTGACACTTCTAATGATCTAATAAAACATAAAATGGTAGTAAAAAAACTCTATTATTTATTATTTTATATTTTACAAGGAATGATTTTGCGCTTGAATAACGTTACGATTTTAGTTAGCACTAATAAATAACGGAACGCTAATATTATGTCAAAGATTATGTTATGCCAAAACCCTCCATTAATTTCTTCCGGATCACCAGGTGGCTCTAAATGACGGACCCTTTTTTGTGCCAGTGTCCAATCTATCTCTAGGACATGACATTAGTCTATGATCGTCATTTGGAAGATAACTCTTCACCTATATGCAAAAAATATCTATCCTAATTTTGAATAGAGATTTAAAATTGTATGATAATCTTACTAAATAAAGAAAATATTAAATACATTTATGATATAACTATCCAAATAACTACTTTTAGAAATCTAGGTGTCATACACAAACAGTACATTTTAATTTTTCACTATTCATTTATGTTTTTATGGCAATATATTGGGTATCCTTGAACGTGTAAAAATCAATTTTAAGGATTTTAAAACTCATCGTCATAAAAATTGGTTATTTGATTCTGACACAGCAGTATATTTTTACCTTCAATAAATTTCGATCAGAGAGAAGTTCAGGGAGCTTACTAATACCTTAAATTTAAACTATAAAGTATTATACGAGTTATTACATTTGTCATTATTTGTTAAGTATTATTATAATTAATATTTATAGATAGTAAAAATACGCCTAACCTTTTAATTTTTAACTCCATGACCTAAAACCGGTCCCACTAAACATTATTCATCTATATCAATGTACGTAATCATTTCGGTAATCATATTATTAGCATTATACTAATTCCTTTACTTACGTGCATATGTTACGCTCAATAGTCGAATTCGGGCAATGCCCGAAAAAAATACGCAAATCTAGTTTTGAGCAAGGAATATTTCCCAAACCCGAAAAACCAACTAACCAATGAATTAACACCCACCTCCAAATAACCACGCTAACCAATTCGCCAAATAACTAAACAAATCCAACGAAAAAGAGCGAAGCCAATGCACTCAAATCACACTATAAGCAAAAAAAAAATAATCGAATAAAATTAATTTTTCGGGTTTGGGATATATTCCTTGCTCAAAACTAGATTTGCGTATTTTTCTCGGGAATTGCCCGAATTCGACTATTGAGCATAATACAACATACGAGATTACCTTATACCGGGTGCGTCTCAAAAGTGGCTCACCCCTATAACTTTTTTATAGAAAAAACAACGAGATTTGGTATGTTAGTATACGAGTATGACATAAATTAGAATTAATTGACGTATTCAATTGTTTTTGGTCACTTCCTGTTTCACCGGAAATGACTACTACTTTTGATTTTTAAATGGCACCCTCGGTGTATTTCTACTTTATTCGATAGAAAATGACACTGAATAGAATGGCATATCATGTGTCCACTATTGACATTTTTGCATATGGTTTATTTGAAATTGTAACATGCGGTACATAACAACAATTTGACTCAAAATCCCAAGTGTGTGGTACCAAATTATTCGTAAAAAATGTTTTTTTCCAAATATGCTAATGGGAATGGGCCACCCTTGTTTCATTTTAAAAAATTGAAATATGACTACAAATACGATTTGGGCAGCTTTCCAGGACAAGACACGAAAAACATTCGACGATCAAATCAATTTTTCCAAGGCTCCTTGATTAAGAAATAGTGTTTTTATCACAGCCATGGTACACTAGATTGAAGTTTAAAATACGATTTGATTTTAAGCGAAAATGTATAAATATACATAATATAAAAATAAAATATAATAAATATATATATATATATATATATATATATATATATATATATATATATATATATATATATATATATATATATATATATATATATATATATATATATATATATATATATATATACCGAGGGCGCCATTTAAAAATCAAAAAGTTGTAGTCATTTCCGGTGAAACAGGAAGAGACCAAGAGCAACTGAATACATCAATCAATCCTAATTTATGTCATATATTAACAAACCAAATCTCGTTTTCTTATCTGAAAAATAAAAAGTTATAGGGTGAACAACTTTAGAGACGCATCCGGTATAATATAAACGCATGCATATAAAACGTATAAAAAATATTTTTAACAATGATGCGTGCATGCTGCATATCAATAGATACCTATATCAATAGATAGTAGATAGATACTAAAATAGACCCAAATAAACGCCTTAACTTTTTTTACAAGTAATTACCATACCAATTAGAGATTCTATTTCCGTATCTGACATATTACATTTGAAAATTGTGCATGTGCCGTGAAAAAAATGATTTTGCATTAGTTTTTTGCATTATTTCGCATTAATTTTCAAAGAAAAATTCTGGAGCAGTCACCACGCAATATTTGAATAATTTATGAAACGAACAAACCAGAGCCATTCATGAAAATTTTGGAGTAGTAGGTATTGCAGCCTGATTAAATGTCAATAAGCCCTATCTTTATGAGCGACAGATATGTATATCTTTTAGGTTATGTGTGTAAAGCGAAAAAAAAACGGTGTGTTGTTGTCAGAGGACATTTTTCTGACTTCCATACGGTCGTCTGCTGACAATCGATGATGTCAAACTGGTCCCATGCGCATCGTCAGTTGGAAGATAACTCGGCTCAACTTTCGTTTAGCTGAAATCTGTTAAATAAAAAATGACTTTATATATGCGTTCTAGAAGGCGTTAGGAGTACAAATATACAAAGATTTTCCTGCGGATATGCGTCATTTTCATTTTTCGGACTTTAGAAATCTGTCACATCAAAACTAGACTTCGGGGTGTGTTTTAGACATTTTTCTAAACATAAAAACACAAAAAAGTGTCTGCGGAAATTTTTTATTTTTATTTTACATAAAAAAATGCTTTGACTTTAGAATAGCCGAAATCAGTTACATGAAAAATGAACTTATATTTGTTTTATACGAGCCTTTACGAGCAAAGAAATACAAAAAAATTCCTGCGGAAAAGTGTCAATGTCATTTTGTGCACTTTGTTTTTCATGCATTTTTCAGTTTAGAAGCTTACGGGACCCGGAAGCGAATAGGGGTGCTGGGTGGGGTAAAACATCTTTCGGAGGAATAACAATTCTTGTAGAATAGATAATATAGGTTCTTGTAAACTATAAGTACTTCGGAATGTTGCACATATTCTTGTTTTTTATTAAAGCTTTACTTAAATAGGGCTGATTCAAAAAACAAAAAATCATTGGATCATGCATTTTTATTTTATATTTTAAGAATTAACTGTGATTTTGCAAAAATATTAGATTGGTTAGCATTTGGGTTGCTTTGGTTAGCTTTTCTTTGTGGAGGGTGTTAAGCTGTGGTTTTTATAATTTAATAATTAACTGTGATATTGCAAATATATTATTAGATTGGTTAGGATTTGGGTTGCTTTGGTTAGCTTTTCTTTGTGGAGGGTCTTAAGCTGTGGTTTTTATGTTTTAATAATTAACTGTGATTTTGTAAAAATATTATTAGATTGTATTTAGACACTTTTAAACGATTTTTTTGGTTCAAAAGTGATAAAAAGAAAATTTTTTATGTATTTATGCTTACAAAAATGGAAAATGAAAATGAAGCATTTCCGCAGGAAATTTTTTATTTTCCTGAGTTTGTAAACGCTTCTAAAAGGCAAAAATATATTTATTTTTTATATAATTGATTTCAGCTATTCTAAAGTCTATTAAATTTCCTCAGAAAATGGATACAGTTTATTTCCGCAGGAAAATTTTTATTTTCCTCAATTCGTGAATGCCTCTAAAAGGCAAAAATATATTTATTTTTTATATAACTGATTTCAGCTATTCTAAAGTCAAATAAATTTCCTTAGAAAATGAAAACAGCTTATTTCCGCAGGGAAATTTTTGTGTTTATATGTTCAGAAAAATATTAAAAATAAAACGCAAAATGTATTTTTTTATAGCAGATTTCAGTTATTCTAAAGTGCGAAATTTGGAAATTACGCATTTCCGCAGGAAAATTATATATAAAATGAAAAGAGTCGAACGTCTTATCGACTGGGACGAACCCATTAAGGAGGCATATTTTCCTAAATTGGACAGTTTAGTAGCCAGCAGGGGATGGCCTGCAAGGGTTGAAAATCAAAGAATAAGAAATCTTAGAAGAGAAACTGACGGTTTAAAACTCGATTTAGATGACTTGAAACGATGGAGAGACAGAATTTTTGCGGCTATTAATTCAAAATCAGTTACTGATAGCACTGGTAAAACTATCGAACTGAATGAAAACGAAGGTATTGATATTTTAGGTAATATGGTAGAAGCCAGCATTCTATCTCCAAACGGAGAATTCTACGGCAATCTTCACAACATGGGGCATGTTTTCCTGTCATTTATTCACGATCCAGATCACAGACATTTAGAATCTTTCGGAGTAATTGGTGATTCGGCCACGGCAATGAGAGATCCCATTTTCTATCGTTGGCATTCCTACATCGACGACCTTTTCCAAAAATTTAAATCAGCCCTTCCAAAGTACACTGTAAACCAACTTAATTATCCCGGAGTGACAGTTGAAGGTATTGAAGTAGGTGTGCAAGGAGGGAAAACAAACAACCTACAAACCTTTTGGCAACAATCGGATGTAGACTTATCAAGAGGTATGGACTTTCAACCTCGCGGTGCTGTCTTTGTTCGATTCACCCATCTTCAACATAGATCTTTTACATACAAAATTGACGTTCAAAGTGATTTAGCACGCGAAGGAACATGTAGAATATTTTTAGCTCCCAAGTTTGACGAACGTAACGATGAATGGTTATTTACAGACCAAAAGCATATGTTTATCGAATTGGATAAATTTAAGGTTAATTTGAAAGAAGGAAAGAACACCATCATGCGTAATTCCAGCGATTCGTCTGTTACAATTCCTTTCGAAAGGACATATCGAGATGTAGATACCTCTAGACCAGAAGGAGGTGATGCTTTGGCTCGTTTTAACTTTTGTGGTTGCGGATGGCCCGATAATCTCCTTATTCCCAAGGGCACTCCTGAAGGATTGCCTTGTCAATTATTTGTTATGATATCAAACATAGCTGATGATAAAATAGACCAAGAAGTTACTGGAGAATGCAATGACTCGTATTCTTATTGTGGCCTTAAGGACAAGCTGTATCCTGACCGACGTTCAATGGGTTATCCGTTTGATAGACTGCCCAGAGATGGAGTTGACACACTACAACAATTCCTAACACCCAACATGAGAGTCCAAGATGTTACTTTAACATTCGAAAATAAAACTTTTAAACCTAAAGAAGTAATCAGCTAAAGGAACAATACAAAATGCATGAAAATAATGTTGATCCATTTTATTTGGATCTAAACAATTTTATAATGCAAATATTGTTTAAATAAAAAGTTAATTGAATAATTTAATTTGTTTTCTTTTATTCAGGAAGTAAAATGCATTTCAAACTTTTTAATTTTAATCCCATCGTAGGTATAGTAGAATTAATTCTTGAAAACTTTTTATTTTACAGTATTTATAATGATCTCTGTATCTGGTTTGCATTTTTGAAGTTCACCCCACTACTAACTGACTACTTCACTGACTACCCACTACTTCACTGACTACTGTCAAAAAACACACAGATACCAATTTTCATCCAAATATCCACTAGATATAGTTCAGAAATTATTTGGAGAAAATCGCAATAAAAATGAAACTTCTACACCCTGTATCTCCCAAACCAAGCATTTTAGGACATACATTTCTATATATGAACTTTTTTACTTATTTTTATCTACAGAATATGCAGCCAAAGTTTCCGGAATACAATTCGGACCCCCTGTATATCTTTTTAAAATAATTCATGTTTATTTTTTAATTCGAAATACTTGCATGATTATCATGCTATAGCTATATATAAATTATTATTTATAAATAGTTCCACCTAAACACGTTGATGTTTTTGTATGTAATTACCACACCAATTACTGATTCTATTTCCATATCTGAAAAATTAGAAATAAGAACTGTTCGTTCTAAAAATTAGATATGACCACATGCAAGGCGCATTAATTTTAAAGAAAAAGCGCCAGAGGGCGCAAAAGGCATTAAAGTACAGGTTTCTAATTTATACAGGGTGGCGCACCTCATTCGCCTCGGTTGATTATACGAAAACAACATATACCCAAAATATTTTATGGGTATATGTGGGAGGCAATGTTCATAATTTAAAATCATTTAGAAATGTACAGGGTGTGTCAGAACTAAGATCCATACCAAAGTTATATTTTTTCTTACGGAACACCCGGTATTTTATTTCATTTTTTCGATTCTTGGGCCCAAAAGAAGGCATTTATTATAAGGGTTAAATATGTTTAAAATCTTTAGTTTTTGAGATATTTAAAGATATTTAAATTTGCATGCTACAATAGAATAGATTATTAACACCCTGTACATTACTTTTCAGAATTAATTCTTATGCTGAGTTTAAAGGTACAGAAATAAACTTTACTGAAAAATAATATTGCTTCCTTAAATTTATACAGGGCTATCAAAAGTTGCTGATCTATTTTAAGGATATATTTTATATAAAAACTTCATTATTTCAAATGCAACACTCTGTATTTTTTAAAACAAATCGAAGCAGATTGAAATGCTCTTTCAAACTATATTAGGGTTTCCTATATCTATCTAGCTCAGATTTTGAATAAAAAGCGATTTTTAAATAAAATTGCAGTCAAGATGGCTCGTGTCGCCATGGCAATTTTCTAGTGACAGTTAGTAACTATTTTCAAAGTCGACATTAGTTTATGGATGGTTTATGGACATTATTATTTATAATTTATAACAGTTTACTTAAATGTACCTACAATAGTTTAATAAGTAAGTATTCATTATTTTATCAAGAAAAAAAGCAGCATCTGCGAGCGGAACGAATAGATATGTTACTAGTGATTTTATTTTTTTTATTATTGTGAGAAAAATTGCTTCTTGGCCTCAAGGGCTTATGCTTAAAGATATCGAAATAGGAATCTTTCTGATAAGCGTCCCTTTAAAAAACTACTTGTCCTATTTCGCAGAGCTGGTAGTGTGGTTTATAAAAAACCTATTAGGCAGAAACCTGTCGTTGGAAGTGAAGAAAATAAATTTACCGTAATTGGCTCTTTTATAGAAAATCCGTATATCTACAAGTCATCGTAAAATAAATCAAAGAACTAGTTCTTCGTTATTCTTGATAGAATAATAAATTCATATTTAATAAATATTATTTATTAAACTATTGTAGGTAAATTAAATAAAAGTAAACTGGTATAAATTTAAATAAGTCCATAAACTAATTTCGATTTTGAAAATAGCTACTAACTGTCACTAGAAATGCCACTTGCCATGACGACACTAGACCTCTTGGTTGCCATTTTATTGAAAAATTGCTCTTTATTCAAAATCTGAGCTAGATAGGTATAGGAAACCCTAATACAGTTTGAAAAAGCATTTGAATCTGCTTTAATTTATTTTAAAAAATACAGGGTGTTGTATTTGAAATAGCGAAGTTTTTATGTAAAATAAATTCTTAAAATAGATCAGCAATTTTTGATACCCCTGTATAAATTTAAGGACGCAATTACATTTTTCTGTAAAGTTTATTTCTCTACCTTTAAACTCAGCACAAGAATTAATTCTGAAAAGTAGTGTACCTGGGTGTTAATAATCTATTCTATTGTAGCTTGCAAATTTAAATATCTTTAATTATCTCAAAAACCAAAGATTTTCAACATATTTAACCCTTATAATAAATGCCTTTTTTTGGTCCCAAGAATCCAAAAATGAAATAAAATACCCGGTGTTCCATAAGAAAAAATATAACTTTGGTATGGATCTTAGTTCTGAAACACCCTATATATTTCAAAATAATTTTAAATTGTGCACATTGCCTCCACATATACCCATAAAATATTTTGTTTCTACATCTTTCCGTTTTCGAAAAATCAACCGAGGCGAATGCGGTGCGCCACCCTGTATATGAAGATGACATAACAGTCTCTATGTTGACTATAATCCATGGTCTAGATTTGGTCGAGTTGACACTTCTAATGATCTAATAAAACATAAAATGTAGTAAAAAAACTCTATATTTATTATTTTATATTTTACAAGGAATGATTTTGCGCTTGAATAACGTTACGATTTTAGTTAGCACTAATAAATAACGGAACGCTAATATTATGTCAAAGATTATGTTATGCCAAAACCCTCCATTAATTTCTTCCGGATTACCAGATGGCTCTAAATGACGGACCCTTTTTTATGCCAGTGTCCAATCTATCTCTAGTACATGACATTAGTCTATGATCGTCATTTGGAAGATAACTCTTCACCTATATGCAAAAAATATCTATCCTAATTTTGAATTGAGATTTAAAATTGTATGATAATCTTACTAAATAAAGAAAATATTAAATACATTTATGAGATAACTATCCAAATAACTACTTTTAGAAATCTAGGTGTCATACACAAACAGTACATTTTAATTTTTCACTATTCATTTATGTTTTTATGGCAATATATTAGGTATCCTTGAACGTGTAAAAATCAATTTTAAGGATTTTAAAACTCATCGTCATAAAAATTGGTTATTTGATTCTGACACAGTAGTATATTTTTACCTTCAATAACTTTCGATCAGAGAGAAGTTCAGGGAGCTTACTAATACCTTAAATTTAAACTATAAAGTATTATACGAGTTATTACATTTGTCATTATTTGTTAACTATTATTATAATTAATATTTATAGATAGTAAAAATACTCCTAACCTTTTAATTTTTAACTCCATGACCTAAAACCGGTCCCACTAAACATTATTCATCTATATCATTGTACGTAATCATCTCGGTAATCATATTATTAGCATTATACTAATTCCTTTACTTACGTGCATATGTTACGCTCAATAGTCGAATTCGGGCAATGCCCGAAAAAAATACGCAAATCTAGTTTTGAGCAAGGAATATTTCCCAAACCCGAAAAACCAACTAACCAATGAATTAACACCCACCTCCAAATAACCACGCTAACCAATTCGCCAAATAACTAAACAAATCCAACGAAAAAGAGCGAAGCCAATGCACTCAAATCACACTATAAGCAAAAAAAAAATAATCGAATAAAATTAATTTTTCGGGTTTGGGATATATTCCTTGCTCAAAACTAGATTTGCGTATTTTTCTCGGGAATTGCCCGAATTCGACTATTGAGCATAATACAACATACGAGATTACCTTATACCGGGTGCGTCTCAAAAGTGGCTCACCCCTATAACTTTTTTATAGATAAAAACAACGAGATTTGGTATGTTAGTATACGAGTATGACATAAATTAGAATTAATTGACGTATTCAATTGTTTTTGGTCACTTCCTGTTTCACCGGAAATGACTACTACTTTTGATTTTTAAATGGCACCCTCGGTGTATTTCTACTTTATTCGATAGAAAATGACACTGAATAGAATGGCATATCATGTGTCCACTATTGACATTTTTGCATATGGTTTATTTGAAATTGTAACATGCGGTACATAACAACAATTTGACTCAAAATCCCAAGTGTGTGGTACCAAATTATTCGTAAAAAATGTTTTTTTCCAAATATGCTAATGGGAATGGGCCCCCTTGTTTCATTTTAAAAAAAATTGAAATATGACTACAAATACGATTTGGGCAGCTTTCCAGGACAAGACACGAAAAACATTCGACGATCAAATCAATTTTTCCAAGGCTCCTTGATTAAGAAATAGTGTTTTTATCACAGCCATGGTACACTAGATTGAAGTTTAAAATACGATTTGATTTTAAGCGAAAATGTATAAATATACATAATATAAAAATAAAATATAATAAATATATATATATATATATATATATATATACCGAGGGCGCCATTTAAAAATCAAAAGTTGTAGTCATTTCCGGTGAAACAGGAAGTGACCAAGAGCAACTGAATACATCAATCAATCCTAATTTATGTCATATATTAACAAACCAAATCTCGTTTTCTTATCTGAAAAAATAAAAAAGTTATAGGGTGAACAACTTTAGAGACGCATCCGGTATAATATAAACGCATGCATATAAAACGTATAAAAAATATTTTTAACAATGATGCGTGCATGCTGCATATCAATAGATACCTATATCAATAGATAGTAGATAGATACTAAAAATAGACCCAAATAAACGCCTTAACTTTTTTTTACAAGTAATTACCATACCAATTAGAGATTCTATTTCCGTATCTGACATATTACATTTGAAAACTGTGCATGTGCCGTGAAAAAAATGATTTTGCATTAATTTTTTGCATTATTTCGCATTAATTTTCAAAGAAAAATTCTGGAGCAGTCACCACGCGATATTTGAAT